GTTCTATGGACCTTTATCTTCTTTGGAACAGATGTCACGAAGAGGCAGACAGGAATTGACTGCATATTGCTCTGGCATAGCATCAATGTAAGTTGATACAGCAGTCTGTGAACTGAAAGGGACTAACTGATATTTGGAGCAAATTACTTGGAAACAGCAATTTACTCTCTAATTTGTTTTCCACACAAAAAATCCAAGAGTGTTTAAGAAATGTTTTGGCCAATGAATAAAAGAAAATCAACAGAAGCTGGATCACAATTAAGTCAAGCTGTTTTCAAATAAATTATAAGCAATAAAACCTACAAATGGTAGAAATCTGAGAGGAAAGTAAAATTGCTACAAAAATGGACCAACAGCTGAAAAGAAAAATGTTTTATGTTTAGACCCAGTATTTTCTGCTTTTATTTAGAATTAAATGTATTGCTTTTGACTGCCATCATCATGTTAAATCTACGAATGAAAAGTAAATACTTTTTCTTTCAGCTTTACATTTTTGGTGGAGTTAATGAGGAGCAGGAATTTAATGACATAAAAGCAATGAAGCTAATAAATCCATCTGACAGACAACCAAGTAAGTTTCATTGTTCCAGTAAGTGGCTATAAAAATGAACTGGAATATGAAATTGCATCCCAATATCATGCAGCTTTGCTCACTAGGAATCCTGGGATGGAGCATGCCGAGGGTGGATAAGGTCAGTGTCGGGAAGATGTTGCCAATTTTCTAAAATTAAGTCTCATCTACGATGTTAAATAAAACAAAGAAAATCACCATGCTAAATGGATTAGCACATAAATTTAAATTGTGGTACAATACTCAGTCCCCCAACTCTGACACCTGTTCAATAAAAAGATGAAGATTATGGACAGAACTGCACATTTATTTTGTGCGGTTCCTGATTAATGCCTCAAATTATTAGTACTATAAATCTGCTATTTTCTGACTTGTGTTCCTGAGGGTCAAGGCTTCACAGCTGGATTAAAGTCGTGCAATTTTGGAGCTACATTCTTACAAACTTGCATCTACAATTGCTGGCCTCAGATAAATGCCGTATTATGTAGAAGGAACTCAAGCTCCATATTTACCACCCTGAAATGCTATCAATTTCCATTTCTCAGCTACTTTGTTTGGAGATTAGTAAGCTGTATTTCCATGTGTTTCAGACAAATAAAACATCTCCCATTGGTTTAGTAAATAAATGTACCCCATTTCAATGGTACATGAGGACTGTGTTGTTTTAGCAGTTCTAAATGTCTTGTTTTCATCTGATTACACGTTCATTCAAGTGATACCATTTTTAGGTATTACACGTCCCATTAACCAAACAGCATCAGTGGTACAGTGAACTGTATTGCATGCACTAAAATTAAGAAGTTCCTAATGCTTCAGTCAGCATATCAGTCAGCAGAGATAGTATGAACTGCAGATGCTGGAGAATCTGAGATAACAAGGTGTAGAGCTGGATGAACACAGCAGGCCAAGCAACATCAGAGGAGCAGGAAAGCTGACGTTTCGGGCCTAGACCCTTCTTCAGAAAATTCTTTTCTGTTTGGGAAACTGTTTGGGTTGAGCTTAGAATCAGCACTGGTTGTCAGACGTTAGTTGAAGTTAATTATAAGCCAACAAATAAAAATGTAATGGGGAGTGTGACATTAATCAGGAAATGAGGGAAGCATGAACATGGACAAAAGCATGTAACTTGGGTGGTTTTAATCTGCATTTAGACTAGATAAACCAATTGATCACTAAAGCTGTGGAAGATAAGTTTTTGGAATCTTAGGGATTAGTTTTCTAGAGCAACGTGTTGAGGAGCCAAATAGAGGACATGCTATTTCAGTTCTAATATTGTGTAGTGAAAAAGGGTTAATTGACAAGCTCAAAAACAAAGTTGCTGGAAAAGCTCAGCAGGTCTGCCAGCATCTGTGAAGGAAAAAAAAGAGTAACGTTCCGGGTCTGGTAACCCTTCCTCAGAACAGTTCTGAGGAAGGGTCACTGGGCACGAAATGTTAAGGAGCTGAAGGAAATTAGCATCAATAAGAAGATTGTACTGGAGAAATTAATGGGACTGTTAATTGATAAGTTCCCATGAACTGAGAGTCTACATTCCAAAGTTGAAGAAGGTAGCTTCAGAAATAGTCAATGGTTTTCTTCCAAAGTTATAAATTCTAGAATTAATCCTCCAGATTGGAAGGTAGCAAATGTCATCCACTATTTAAGAAGGAACTGAGAGAAAAAAACACAGCACTTTAGAACTTGTCAACCTTGGATCAGGAGGGAAAATGCTAGAATCTACTATGAAAGATGGAATAAGTAAATACTTGGTTGATAATGATTTGATTCAGCATAGTCAGCATGGATTTGTGATTGGGAAATGGTATTTGATGAACTTGGAGATTTTTGGAAATGTTACCAATAAAACTGGTAAAGGAGAGCTGATGGATGTAGTATAGTTATATTTTCGGAAGGCTTTTGATAAATGGCCTACAGGAGGCTGCTTAGAAAGATTAATACCTGTGGGATAGGAGGTAATGTATTGACATGGATTAATGATTGCCCAACATTCAGAAATCAAAGAGTAGGAATAAATAGGCCATTCTGGCATTGGCTGGCTGTATCTAGTCAACTACTACAAGGATCATGTGGAGGTACAAAAGAACCCAGATATCCTTGTCAAATGAATCATTGAAGGCTAACAGGAAAGTCAATAAGATATTAGGAAAACTAACGGAATGTTAGCCTTTATTACAAGAGGATTGAATATAGGAATAGTGAAATTTTGTTTAAATTCCGTAACAGCTTTATTAGATCACACCTGGATTATTTTGTGCAGTTTTGGTTTCCTTATCACAGGAAAGATATTAGAGAGAGTGCAGTGGAACTCAACAAACTTGTTCCCAGGATGACAGGACTGTTCTGTCAAGAAAAATTGGGCAAACTGGACTGTACTTGCTAGAGTTTCAAAGAATGGGAGATGATCTCACTGAACCTCAGAAAATGCTTAAAGGAGTAGACAAGATACAGGTAAGATGATTCCCCTGTTGGGCAATCTAAAAGCAACAGGAATGTTACTTAGTTCCAAGATGTAGCGAAATTATTTTGCTCAGGGGGTTGAAAACTTTTGGAATTCTCTACCACATGGGGCTGTGGTGGCTCAGTCTTTGACTATATTTATGGTAGAGATTGGAAGATTTCTGATAACAATGATTTACAGGTTCATGGGAATGGGGAGTGTAAAAGGCACTAAAGTGTTCGATCAGCTATGAACATATTTAATGACAGGCAAGCTCAAAATCCTGAATGGCCCTATCCTGTTTCTGTGTTTCTGTGTTCCTGTGACTCAGGAAAATTCCCAGCTCTAAGCCCTCATGTCTGGTAATACTGACTCCAGAAGCAGGATCTTCATTGCTGGGTGGTGTAAGTGCTGGCTGAACCATAATAGCTGACCCCAGAAAATGTTCAAAGGCAACCAACTGCAGAGCTGGACAATCTAAAATGCCTGTCTTGGTGCTAAGGGACTTCATTCCAAATGCAATAAAAGAAATGAAAGGCACTCCATTCTTATCTTCCCCTCACTTCCCACATACAACTCAACGCACTACCCAGACCATGTCAGACCCTCCCAAACACCAACCATAATTCAACAAGCCTGCATGCCGATGTGTATACCTTTTTGCATTCCACATAGCTCTTCATACTCTCATGCAAGGTATAGCACTTCCAGGTCCATTCACTTACTATACCCTCTACTGTGGGGTTGGCTCAGATGGCTGGAAGGTCAGTTTATGACGCAGAGTGATGCCAACAGCGTGGGTTTAATTCCTACACTGGCTGAGATTACAATGAAGGACTCTCCTTCTCAATCTCTCCCCTCCCCTGAGGTGTGGTGACCCTCAGGTTAAACCACCACCAGTTGTTTTTCTCTAATGAGCCCCATGGTTTGGGAGGACTTGGCAACTTATGCACTGTATTGAAGCAATTAATCCTATAGTGACAGTAGCATGTATAAAAAGAACTCTTAAGCAAGGAATTGTTTGTGATTTTCTACTATGTTAAATACACTTCATTTAAAAAAGTTCTATTCACTAAATGGCAATAAAAATATCAATTATTCGGACCCTTTAAAGTTTCAATACCTGAAACTGCAAGGTACTTGAAACTACTTGACTTGTGTAAACAATCATTGTAAAATTAATACTTATTTAAAATTTCCCTGTAAACATTGTAAATTATCGCTTTAATGTTTGCAAGTCATTACAGTCTGTAAACTTGTTAAAGTGTGGTGAGATCCATTGTTTATCTGGCCCAGTTGGTGCCAACTTGGCATGGCCTCTCCTGCTGTCTGACTGCTGAACTTGAGGCTGCTCCCTGTGCCTTCTGGTGTGTTACGTCTGCCTGTGCTCAACTTTTAGACTTGCAGTTTCTCTCCATCCCCGACCCTCAGAAAGAACCTGTGGGACTGCTACATATGGTCTGCGTCAGGAAGTCTTTAGAGTACTCATCAAGCTCCAGGTCAGCTGATTGAGCTGTCATTTGATGCTGGCCATGTTATTGCCACTGATAGCATCTTTCTGAGAGGCAACTATGTCCCTACTTGCTGGTTGCCACTACCTCCAGGATCCACTCAAATTAGCTGTTCCATTTGTTTGCAACCTGAATGAGTCCACACTCTTAAAGGGAACTCTTGAAATTTGCAAAACCTGAGAACTGGGTCAAGAGTCTTGGATTTGGGACCAGCCTGCCATTTTCAAGGGCTCCTGAATCAACCTGACTCGGCAAAAGTCTGGCTCAAAAGTCTTTAATTGTGTTTGAGAGCGTAACACATTTGAGTCTTGGAACACTCTGTAAACGCTATTGTAATTTGTGCATTATTTTAGCTCCTCTGCATAATGAATTACACCTCATAATACACTCTCAATCATTCTTGCTTTAGACCACACTGGCATTTTGATTTTTAAAAAAAATTAGCCTGTATGAAAACTGATTTTCTTTTAAATTTCAGTAATGAAAGAGATTCTCTCGGAATTTGGAATCAATGAAGTCGGTTACAGGTTAGTGCTTTTAATTTCACTTAAATTGTCTTCTGATCTCTCAACTAAAGAATAAAAGCTCAATAAAAAAATTCCCCTCCTTTGCACTTTATTAATCCATTTTGTCCTAGCTGGGTCATGGCACTCCACATCATGGGAAACAGAAGTTATCCCTTAGGGCCTTATACACTCAGCTCTGCTGTATTACTTAAAACAACAATGAGCAGTAACCCGATGTCCTCTCTTAAGTGAGGAAAGAAAATTAAACAAAAAGATGTTAATTTACTCTTTTGTATCACCTGCTCAAATTCTATAGCAGTATAGGAAAAATTAAAGTAAATTGGATCGGCACCATTGCACCAACTTCAATTTTACTGCAAAGCAGCAGAGAAGACAGGCACTGTTTACCATGTGCAAATTATGGAAGAAGGTGAGCCTTTTTGTCAAAACTCTCAAGGACTTCAAAGATTACCAAGAGTGTTCCATGCACAGCTCTGGTTTCTATTCAATGAGAATGCCATAAAAACAGTGAACAAAATGCACAAAAAATTCATAAAACTGTTATCAGAAATGAAAGATTTTGGCAGCAAGGGAAGATTGGACAGTTTAGGGTAACTTTTTTTAATTTTTGAAAAGGGAAAACTTAGATGAGACCTTCTTTAAAATTATAAATCAGCTGGATAGGTTAGATGGTGATAATGAGCTGCTTTTTATGGGAGGGGGAGGGTAGGTGGTTTGCTCACTTAGCCAGAAGAAACGTTAGCTGGAAACTGGTTTGCACTGAGAAAGTCTGTCACACAACCATGACGCACTGTAGTGAGCAGCAAATTGCTTAATGCATGACTTGTACCCCTACACTCAGGAAGATGTCCTATCATGGAGAGCTAGCAGGTCCATCACACTTGGCAGTGCCAGACCTGAGTACTGGCTGACCAGAGAAGTTAAATCTTGAGTTCTCGGCCTTAAAGCAATCCCACAGCTTGGGGAGTAGTTGAGGGGTTGATTACAGTTGGCATGAAAGGAAGAGGTGGGAGAGCATACATCCAGATGCTCCCCCCCACAAATTATGTGCCCTCTTTTTGCATTTTCTCATGTAGGCCTTTAAACATAACCTACCCACACCTGGCCAACTGCCCATGTCAGCCATATTTTTGCATGAAAATTATATTACTCAGATCAATAGATTTGCTAAAATCCTAAGTGCACCTTACTTTCAGTGCCTGCCTAGTTAGCGTAATGTGTGGGTGAGCAGGAAGGTGTTGGCTAATCGTCTGACCTGTTTTACTTGCCATTTTGCCACACACCAGGTGCATGTCAAATGCAGCCCAATATTTCTAGTTATGGGAAAATCCAAATTTGGCTGTAATAAATTTAGGTTAGTTGCTATTAAATCCATTCGGGAAATTTTCTTTTCTAGCAAAGTCGTTACAATATGAAACTCACTACTATTGGAAATAAATTTAAGATCATAAGAAACAAGAGCAGGAAAAGGCCATCTGACACCTGAGCCTGCTCCATCCTTCAATTAGATTAGGATTGATATGATTGTAGCCTTTATTCCACTTTGCTGCCTGACCATGCACCCCACCCTGCACCCCCATTCTTCCTGTCAAAGTGGACAACTTCATATTTTCTTCACATTATATTCCCTTACTAAATTTTGCCTACTCACATGACCTATCTATCTATCTATATCCCTTTGCAGACTCTTTATGTCCTCCTCACAACTTGCTTTCCTATCTATTTTAGTATCACGAGCAAATTTAACTTTCATATAGTTGGTCCCTTCAACTAAATCAATAATACAGATTATAAATAAATAAAACCTTAGCATTGGATCCTGTGGCATGCCATCAGTTACAAGAATTACAGTTTCTCGGGTTGAAAATGATCCTGTTATCACACTCTTTGTTTCCTGTTTATTAGCTAATCCTCTATCCATGTTAATATATCACTCCTCAAAATTTTATCCTTTGTAGTAACCTTTCATGTGGCAATAAATTGATGTTTTTTTGACATCCAAATACGCTATATTTTCTGGTTCCACAGCTTCTACCCTGCTTGTTACATCATCAAAGAATTCTAGTATATTTGTCAAACATGATTTCTCTTGCACAAAGCCATGTTGATTCTGACCAATTTTATTATTTTAGTTTTTTAATTGACCTGTTGCTGCTTCCTTAATAATGGATTCTATAACATTTTCAAGTGAGAGATGTCATGCTAAACTGAACAATAGTTTCCATCTCCAATCTTCAATAGAGGGTTACATTTATAGTTTTCTAATCTGCCATCATATTCCTAGAATCTAGGGAATTTGAAAAATTATAACCATTGAAATGTGCATTATCACTATAGCCACTGCTTTTAAGATCCAAGGTTGCAAGCCATCAGGTCCAGGGAATGTGTCAGTCCTTAATCACATTAGTTTTTTTCAGTACTTTTTTCTCTAGTGGTTGGGATTATTTTAAGTTCTTCCCTCACATTTGCCTTATCATTTTCTACTATTCCTGAGATGCTTTTTAGTGTCTTTTACTGTGAAGAGAGATATAAAATATTTGTCCAAATTTCTGCCATTTCCTGTTTCTATTATTATTCTCCAGGTCTCAACCTTTCTTTATACTTTTCCTTTTATGCGGTTTTTAATTGCTTTTACTGTTGTTTTGTATTTCTTGCTAACTTTAGGTCATACTGTAATTTCTCCATTTTAATATGTATCATTGCTTTTATTTTTAGTCATTCTTTTAGCAACCTATGCTGGTTTCTAAAGATTTCCCAGTCTTTTTACATCATTAACTTACTTGGTTAGCCACATATGGTGCAAATAGCTTGGATGTGTACTTGACAGAAAAGTGAATAGAAAAATATACTGAAAGGCTGAGATGAGATAGCTAGAAGAGGGAGGCTGATGTGCAATATAAATATCAGCACAGATTAGATGAAATTAATGGCCTATTTCTGTGTTGCATGTTTGATACAATGTAATTCTATGTAGTTAGTGGTTATCCTTGTGGAAGGAAAGGGTCCACTGTGCTGTATCATTGGACAGATGTCTTAAAAGCATGACAACATCTTATTCTCTGTACATTCAGGTGATAGACAGCTTGCTGGCCAGTTGCAATCAGCCAGTCAACTGTATATACAACGTAACCATAATCTAACTAAGCATTTAAGCCACACTGCATATGTAAATCTAAGACATCATATTAATATTGATAATTGTTAATAAGCATCTAGATATCTGACTCAATATGAGCCAGTCTCTCTGTAGTATGTGTTGTATGGACTAATGTGTAGAAAACCATAAAGCAAACACCACCTGCAAAAAATGAATACAGCGAAAAATGTTTAAGTCACCATACCACGGCACCTATCTTAGTAACAGAAGGCATGGATAAGAAAAAAAATTTAAGACAAAGTCCATCGTCGTTCACTTCACAGTTCCTGGGTTCAGGAAAAGACAGTACCGCTGTAGAAAGCTGACAAAGCTGTCACTGAAGAAGAAGATCGCTACGCTGAGCTGCTGGCATACTGGGCCAAAAGCTGCCACTGAAGCAGTCCATCCGCATCTGGCTGCTGCAATCCAGGGCCACAAAGCTCAGCAGAAGCCGCCCAAAGGACCAATCTCATTGCTGAAACCAGCCATCCTTTTTGCTAGATTCTTGGGCTGTAAGACTCCGCAGAATCCCGAAGTCTCAGCAATCCCGGTATTGGCATTGCAGAAGCTGCCCAAAAGAATCGCAGACCACTGGATGCCAGACCAAAACGACCCCATTGTGCCGATCTGGACCGATGTGATCCCGGGCTGTGCCGTTGAAGGCACCAAAGCTGACCATCACCGGGTGTGGTCGCAATTGCCATGAGGAACCACCATCACTGCCACAAATAATCCCTCCTCCACCGAAGCCACCAAAAGAAGGTAAAATGTTCAAAATAAAAAATGGGAAAAAATAAATCGATGAAGGATGTGGCAGGCCAAGAAATCAGAAGCAGATGATGCCGGAACACTTCCTACCCTTTCGCCTCCATCTTAGATGTCATTTAAAACTAGGCTGCTCGTTTTAAAGTTGCAATCTCTAAAACAGCAATAAGAGAAGAAAAGAGAGAAGCCAACAGAAGCAAAAAGATAACAAAAGCTTTACACTGCAGCACAGAATCCTTTTCTGCTGGCAACTTAAATGAGCAGGAAGAAGCAGAGTAGGATAGAAAGCAAAAATCTGTAAATACACTCTCATTCAAGTGAATTCTGTCCAAACTTTAAGTATTTAATGAGAGAATAAATCTTCATTTCATAGATAACAGATTGTGACAAAAAGAGACAGGCTGTCAAACTGTTTATTGGTTTCTGGAGTAAACGATTGAAAATAATTAAATTTCTCCAGCATTTCAGATGATGACCACATAAATCTAGACAGGATAAACTTCAGATCCAAGTCAACTTCAAAATACTTTGGCTTGAGTTCATGTCATACTGCCAACAGCCATGTGAAAGTATTGACCAATCCATAGGCTGATGTTGATGCATAAGTACAGAACATGATTTTGTTAAAGCTAGCCTAGCTGAAAAGCTGTGCAACTGGTCACTGCCTCTACGCCTATCAAATCTTCCTGAAAGAAACTCTGAACAAACATAAATAATTTACTGTTGATGCTTGAAGAAAGGTGCAAGTTCAAAGCAATTGTAACAGGACAGCAACATCATCAGGTACTTGATTCTTCAAATACTATTGAAGCCATTAACAAAAAACCATGCAGTACAATGGCCTTCCCTTCTAACTAGATGTTAAACTAATTGGGCTGCCCACTGAGGTGAGGATGCGTTCCTTTAGGAAAAATCTCAGTCTCAAGTAGAGCAATAGGGACTTGCCCTAAAGTGAGCGTGAAATTTGGCAAGAAGGGTGTGACCTGGTAAACCACAAGATTGTGACTCAAGATGGCCATCTGGTAAGAATCCTTACTGCCGGATCGCACCCCATCACTGGAAGAAAGTCTGGGACTACCTTCAGAAGTAAGGTGCCATC